GGATCACTTTCGTCAACTTCCTTTTCCCTTTTATTTCACAAAAATACAAGGAAAATCACTAATTCCCCTTAATTTCCCGCTCTTTTCCCGTCTGTAGGCGGTCACCACTCGTCCAAACAGAGTCCGTTTTCCCCAACTAAGGTTTCAAATTGTCGGGAAAAATGCGGCGACCAACTTTGGTTCGGGCGGTGATTTCCTAATTTCGCTTCTTTTCTCCGTTATAAAAATAAAAAGAAATTCTTGATTTTCGGAATTTTTAATTAAAAAATACAAAAAAAATCCGTATCTTTTTTTCTAGCCGTTAGAATTTTTCGAAAAACATCTCAAAATGTTCGCCTCGTCGAGAGGTCGAACTTTGCTCCAATACGCCTTGCGCAAAACCGCGCGGATTGGGAGATATTTCAAAAAAACTATTTCAAAAATATCAAAAATTAAGGCTAATCAAGAAAACAGACTAATTAGCGTTGCACTAATCAGCCCGCGCACCCCCGTTGGTTGGGGAAGGCCGCGGCCTTGGGGGTGCTACTCCCCTCCCCGGCAACGGCGCCACTGTTGGGAGAGAACCCGGGGAGGGGCTACCTACCGTTCGCTGAAGCCAAGGGCTACGGCGCCTGTCACTTCGCCCCGCCCGCTCCGAGGTCCTCGGCGACCAGTAGGGTGAAAGGGGGCAATCGAGTTCAAGGTTTGTCTAGCCCCGTCGGCACGCAGCGCTCTTCAGCAATCGGAGAGAGTAAATAAGATTAAAGGAATAAGTAAAAAAAATAAAAAATAAATAAAAGAGTGGCAAAATTAAAACTGGAACTCTCTCTCTCCCTTTGTCTGTCTGTCTCAGCCCTTGTTCTTCTCTCTCAGCGTCTGCCTGCTCTCCCTCTCTCTCTCCCTGCGTGAGCCTGCTCTTTCTCTCTCTCTCTCTCTCTCTCTTCCTTAGTGAGCCTGCTCTTTCTCTCTCTCTCTCTTTCTCTCTCCCTTTCTCTCGTCTGTGTGTGTGTGTGTGTGTGTGTGTGTATGTCTATGTGTGTGAGTGTGAGCGTGAGTGTGTGTGTGTGTCTTGCCCTCCGATGAGCACTTACCTGAGTTGGTTGTGACCTGCAGAGGTGGCGCTGATGAGTAATGACCACATTAACTATCTGCAGGGGTAGCGCCGATTCACTGCTGACGAGCGCTGGACTCAAGGGTACTTTGAAACACTTTGTATTCGTATCTCTGATGTTGCGCTGACGAGCGCTGGACTTAAGGGAACTTTGGAAC